AGAAATAAAAAGAAGAAGATGTTTCAGTCTAGAAATAAAAAGAAGAAGATGTTTCAGTCTAGAAATAAAAAGAAGAAGATGTTTCAGTCTAGAAATAAAAAGAAGATGTTTCAGTCTAGAAATAAAAAGAAGAAGATGTTTCAGTCTAGAAATAAAAAGAAGGAGATGTTTCAGTAAAAGAAATAAAAAGAAGGAGATGTTTCAGTCTAGAAATAAAAAGAATAAGATGTTTCAGTCTAGAAATAAAAAGAAGAAGATGTTTCAGTCTAGAAATAAAAAGAAGAAGATGTTTCAGTCTAGAAATAAAAAGAAGAAGATGTTTCAGTCTAGAAATAAAAAGAAGAAGATGTTTCAGTCTAGAAATAAAAAGAAGAAGATGTTTCAGTCTAGAAATAAAAAGAAGATGTTTCAGTCTAGAAATAAAAAGAAGAAGATGTTTCAGTCTAGAAATAAAAAGAAGGAGATGTTTCAGTAAAAGAAATAAAAAGAAGGAGATGTTTCAGTCTAGAAATAAAAAGAATAAGATGTTTCAGTCTAGAAATAAAAAGAAGATGTTTCAGTAAAAGAAATAAAAAGAAGGATTAAGAGCAACATTTGACCAATACCTACAGCCCCCCTACCTTGCATTCTTTTTTTTTTGAACTTTTTTTTTGGACCAATTTTAATCTAGTTGGTACAACTTTTACTAAAAAAAAATATTGCAGCATTGAAATCTGTTTTTAGTAGAACAAATTGCAAGAGTTAAAATCAAAACTTTGTGGCTTTATGGTATATAAATTGAATTATATTATTTTAAGTTTAAATCATTTTGTTTAAAAAGTTATTAGATAAAAAAATCAACAAACATATTTATATCTTTAGTTTAATAACAATGAAAGATTACTGAATTTGACTTGTTTGAAATTTTAAAAATAATAGCTACTGTTATTTCTGCAAATATAACAGGTTGTATACTGATAATTGCTAAGGCTTGGCTCCGATGAATTATTATTTGCACAAAAAACAATAGTTCAGAATAGTTTGCAAAGATCTGCATCTGAAAAAAAAACAACTTAAAAAAATGGGTTATGTTGTCATACAATTCAAGGCTTGTAAGGAAACTTAGCTTAAAGAGTATGTAAAGAAATAACTCAAACAATTTCAATTTAAACAGTTTTGTGCTCTTGGTAGGTTTTTATATACAAACCAAAAATAACTCTCTTTTTTCAAAATTGTTTTTTATCTTGTAATAGTGTTCATATTATTCGATATTAAAAATTATTACAGCTAAAAATGACTGATATTTTTATAGGTTCATCTTGATTTACTGGGTACATTTGACCATTTCATGAAACCTGTTGTACATGTGAAAGCTGGTGTTTTTGATTGGTCTCTGTCCTCTCTCAGTACTTCAAATAGTTGTCTGAAACAAGCAGAGATTTCGATACAAATAGATAATAAAAAAAAAAAAGTTATAAAATAGAACTACCCTAATACAATTGAAAAAAGAGGTACAACAACAGCGGTTATATAGATAGAGAAAAAAATCAAACAGGGATTTAATTATTGCACAAATGCCTGTTTAATATCATGCAACATTTTAAAAGTTCGAATCGGTGCTCTCAGTAATTTTTTGAGCATTTTTTTTAAAAAGAAAAACTGGATCAATATAAAAGTTATAGTACAAATTTTTATTTATTTCTATTTAACAAATTTCCACCTGTTACAAAAATAAATTTACCTGGACCATGGATCAGTATTACACAATTACTTAATAATGAGGAAAGCGGTCTGGGAAATCTTTATGATTCAGGGTTAAAAGGTAATAACAAAATATTAAGATTGATGCGTCATCAAGAAAAAACTCCTAAATTGTCAATCTAACTGACATCGTTAACTAAATGTGAATATCATCTAATCTAATTTTTTTTGACAAGAGATACAAGTCAAAACCATTCTGCAAATTTTGGTTGCAAACATTTAGATAAATATTCTTATAAACAAATTGTCTCTAACAACATTTTATCTGAAGATGACACATATTTTAAAATGTTAACATATAAATAAATTATAATTTTTTTCTTCTTTTGATAGTTTTTATTGGTTTTGTCATTGATGTACTTATGTTATCTTTGTATTACAAAATATACATACATATTTATAAACATTTATACATATTTTTGTTATGTAAAGTTCAAACGTTCGAACTTGAAAATGTTCGAGCTAGCAGCCTTAATCTTAATATCACGACTCAAATACATGTTATGTAAACTTTTTATTAAAAATGTATATATTTTCATAGGCATTTTATTTATTTTTTATTAAAAGTTTTATTTATTATTAAATCAAAAATATTTAATTAACTTTTTTTTTACAACTGAGTTGAGAACAAAGGGCAAGAGGGTGGGGGTAAAAAAACAATTAATCCCCTAAAAATGTCAAACGTCACAAAGTTCTAATTAAAACTATTTAAGTTCTAATTAAAACTATTTAAATATAAAGAATATTCATTAGGAAGCGAATTTATTTGGAATTGATGACGTTAAAACTTTATATATATTTATATCTTTATGTTGAAATGCAACAATAGCTTTTGTGAAGAAAGCAATTGTTGCATACCTAATGTTTCAATTTTATTAAAGAAAATCGAAGAAACTTTCTTAGCGCTTTAGAGTAACGAATTAAACGCATTTTATTAAAGAATTAAAGAATAGTCAAAGAGAACAAAAGAATTTCTTTTGTTTTACTTTCTTAACACTGAGTAAATCTTAACGACTCTAGAATTGTTTGGGACATTTTGAAAACCGTTTTTTTTAATTTCAAACAAAAATATGTATCTTTAGTTTTGATTTTGAATTTAATTTTTTATTAGTAAAATAATCCGCCATTTTGTTTTAAATATATTCATTCATTAAGGTCATGTATCATCATGCTAATATCTGGAGCACAAAAACGAAAAGAACACACAGTGTTCTTTTGAATTAGTAAAAGCTACACACAGAGAGAATTGTTTTTGTAAAGAAGTGTAAATTATTCATATAATATTTGTCAGTACAACTATAATATCAATAAGGTATTGAGTTGAGTTTACAGAGTACATCAGCAATAATAAAAGCATGAGGTGGTGGAGATATTGAGTCAAATTTGCAGAGTACATCATCAATACTGAGGTACTCTTGCAAGGGTACTCGTAAAGGATTGTTGGATTTTTTAATTGGGATGCTACAGCGGCTTTGGTTTTGATTTAAATTACTGGTTTTCGGACAGCACTGATGGTGCTTCAAGCAATCATAATCAGTAAAGGGGACTGCAATTAAAGATTACTGCAGACATGTACATTTTGGTGTTATGCTCATGTTCTCAACTCAGTTGTGAAAAAGGCATGAAGCTACTGCATTCAGGAGTTATAGTTTTTCATCTCTCTGCAAAATATTGCAACGTTTATAAAAAGTAAACATGTCATAGAAGCAAATTGCAACATGAATTAAACTTGTTGAAACACGAATTGAAATGGACGACACGAAAAGATTGTAACTTTTTGGTTAAGGTGACTGGGTTAATAATTATTTGGAACATTTGCTTAACCATCTTCGACAGTGTTTTTCATTTTGATTTTAAGTGTGACATGTATTAGTGATACAAAAAGGTTTGATGCAAAGACGCTTTATGAAGTTAAAGCATTGCTCATGGCATCCCTGAAATCCCTGACACCATTTTGACTCCCATTACCTACCTACAAATTTTGGAAAAAGTTGGATTACTGCATATAGACTTAATGACAAAACCTAGAATAATTTGCATATAAGACTATCAGTATTTTTTTAGTAAATTAAGTAAAATGTAAAAGATTGTTCTTAAAATTAAAGTTAACCATGACGAGATTGGAGTAATATAAGTTGTGTCAACGTGGCGCAGTTCTAACTCAGAGCCAAGATATTTGTGGTTTGACACTAACTATACCTCAATAAGCGACTTTGGTAAGGAAGGAGGTTACTTCATAGTTATTTTCTCTTTCGCACTGCTCTGTGATAACTTTATAAAAACGTCTTGAAGCAACTTAACAAACTCAAAGCGAAAACAAATGTTTCTGCTTGACAAAAAAAGTCTATTTGATAGCCTTTGAGTGAAATACAATCACTCAAAGATATGCAATTTTGTTCTCTGAATCTAGCAACAGTTAAAAGAATAGTTATTGCTATACTTCGCAAACCACTTTGTTCATTTTTAGTTCAATATAAATTGGTTTGTTTGTAATTTCAGTTTTCATGTAATGGTTTAATTTTTGGAAAGTTGCGAAACGGGTTGTCTTAGCAATACAGGTATGTAGGAGTGGCTACTTAATTATTTGAGTGGCCAGTAAAATATATTTCCAAGTACACCACTGGGCGGGACCAAAACTTGATGTTGCTCTATTTCCATACTTCATTCATTTTCTTTTGAAATAACTAAGGATATATAAAAACTTCGAGTTTCTCCCAATTTGTTAAGCAAACATTAAAAACGTTGTTGACGCCTATGGGCGTGGCTCGCCTAATATTACAAAATTAAATTGTTTTCGCTAACAATATTTTCTTTTAACATTTAAGAATTCACTATTTACAAGAATTCACATGGACTTAATTCTCAAGAGTATTTAAAATTTTCTCATCCTTTTTAAAGCAATGAAACGCGTTATAAAATGTTCTCTTTTATAAAGTTTTATTTATATACGTATTTTTAATTAAGGTTTTTTTAATATTTTTAAAAATTTTTAATTTAACATTTATTATAAATATTTACATAAAAATATAAAAAAGAACATTTCTTATCATAACGAAATAAAAGTGTTTTGTAACGTTGTTTTTACTTAAATTAACGTGTTTCATGGCCGACGACACAGGCTTTGAAGCCTCCCTAGCCCCCTGGTAACGTCAGCTCTCTATTTTATAATATATAAACGTTTTATTAACTTTTAAATAACTTAAATATTTATTAGATGATGTTTTGATTTGCTTGTTATAACATAATATGTTTAATTATAGAGTTATCGGTGCATTCAATATTTGGTGTTCAACCGTCTTTAGAACATTTATTTCCACGTAACAAAGAAACTAGTGAAATACATAGATATTTAATCGAACCACAATATTTGAATAAGCCTTTAGTTGTATGCGGAATGTCAGGTGTTGGAAAAACACAAATTGCAAGAAAGTACTGTGAAGAATATCAAAGGTTTTATGAAAACATTCTTTGGATAGATGCAGCATTCGGAAAAATACAAAGTTCCATGAATACCCTTTGTCAAAAACTAGGACTTCTAATTAATGATTCAAAAGATAATTCATTCGATATTGATGTGGTTATTGAAAAAACACATAACTATTTTAAAAAAGAAAAAACTTTGTACATTTTTGACAACATTGACAATGAAAGTGTTAAAAATTTTGAAATGTACATATCAAGGAAACCAAATTCTTTTACTTTGATCACCACTCAATGGAGAACGTGGTCAGATAACGTAAATCGGATGTCAATAAATGTTTTTTCTCGTGAAGAAGCTTTAGTTTATATAGAAAATAGCATAAAAACAAAAAAAGACGAGAAAATAGAAGAACTAATAAAATTACTCAGTTTTCATCCTTTCGCTATCACTCAGGCGATAAAATATATAAACGCACACTCAGTTTCAATTGAAACATACATGGATCGATATAGATTACACCCCGTAGAAACACTAGATGATGAAAAGTTTCCAACTGAAAAAGAATCGATATCTGCTGTTAAAGCAATCACCTTAGTTTTAATAAAATTAGAAAATAATGATACTATTGCGTTAAAATTATTGAACTGTTTGTCACATTGCAATGGTCAAAACATCAGCAAGCATTTTATAGTTCAAATTTCAAAACATATGAAACTAACCGAAGAATACATGATTGATGACACCATTAGATTATTGTTCAGTTATTCCTTACTAGATTGTTTTGGCGATGGAAAATTTTTAATGCACGATCTAACGCAGTTGTCATGCAAACGTTTCCAAAGTAAAAATTCCAGTACCAAAACCTTCCACGATCTTATTGAAAACTATTTTATTTTTGAGTTAAAAAATATAACAGATCACGGTGAATACGGAAATCATTTTGTATTTCATTTCCTGTATATGTTTCGAAAAAATAGAAAAAAAATGACGGAATCCTTTCATCGTGAATCAAGTGTTATATATAAGTTTTTAACATGTAAAGGTTTATTTCAAGAACTAATTGAAATATTAAAGGCTGTTCAAAGTTTTAATGCAGAAACTTATGGAGAAAATAACGAACAAACTCTCGATACAAAAAATAATATCGCAAACTGTTTGAGCAAATTGGGAAAATATAACGAAGCTTTAGAAATTTATTATTCTGTTGATAAAATACAAACTGATATTTTAGGTATCAACCATCTGTCAACACTGTCAACAAAAAATAATATCTCAGTCTGTTTGAGCGATATGGGAAAATATAACGAAGCTTTAGAAATTTATTATTCTGTTGATAGAATACAAACTGAAATTTTAGGTATCAACCATCTGTCAACACTGTCAACAAAAAATAATATCGCAGTCTGTTTGAGCGATATGGGAAAATATAACGATGCTTTAGAAATTTATTATTCTGTTGATAAAATAAACACTGAAACTTTAGGTATCAACCATCCGTCAACAATGTCAACAAAAAATAATATCGCACTCTGTTTGAGCGACATGGGAAAATATAACGAAGCTTTAGAAATTTATTATTCCGTTGATAAAATAAAAACTGAAATTTTAGGTATCAACCATCCGTCAACAATACGCACAAAAAATAATATCGCAATCTGTTTGAGCGAAATGGGAAAATATAACGAAGCTTTAGAAATTTATTATTCTGTTGATAAAATAAAAACTGAAATTTTAGGTATCAACCATCCGTCAACAATACGCACAAAAAATAATATCGCAATCTGTTTGAGCGAAATAGGAAAATATAACGAAGCTTTTGAAATTTATTATTTTGTTGATAAAATAAAAATTGAAATTTTAAGTATCAAACAATGGGTACGAAATATAATATCGCAAACTGTTGTGAAGTTTACGTTCGAAAGAAGATTAAAGTTGTCTAGATTTTTACTTTCGATTTTAACTTTAATTTTTTTTGGTACTTAAATTATTGTAAACTGCTTCAAATACTTTATAATTTTTAAATTGTTATATAATTTTATATCATAAATCTATTATAAATATTTATTTTGAATCATATGACAGAAATGTACTTTGTTTTTTCTTGAACTGATACTGCCAGAGTTTATTTTTACTCATAAATGTTGGAGAAGTCTATATATATATATATATATATATATATATATATATATATATATATATATATATATATATATATATATATATATATATATATATATATATATATATATATATATATATATATATATATATATGTATATATATATGAAGTCGTATTTCAGGTGGTCAAAAAAATCAAAATCTATAAGTATGGTCTAAATGCTTTGATTTTTTATTTAAAATAATGCTCTAAAGTGAATTGCTACTTAGCAAAGGCATAGCAATTGAATAGCTTGAGCAATCATTTTCCAAAATAAGGTTTTAAAAAATACTGAGTGATAGTTTGGCTTTTTTTTGCCATAAAAATTATTTAACCAAACCACTCAACTGTGCTAAAATGTTATGTAATTTCTTTTTATGTGTAGATTAAAAGTTAATGTTATCTTTTTTTTGATATTAATGGTAAATATAACCTGACTTTAATTCTTTATTATTCTTTTTTTTTAGTGAAGAATAAAATAAATATTTTATTCTAATTGCACAATATAGAAACTGATGTTTTGAGGAGAAGAAAAACTTGTGCTTCTCGAGTTTTTTTAAAAAAAGGATGATGAAAATCAAGATTGCTAGTTTTTTTTGAAATATTAATGTTTTTGTGCCTAAATTTACAATCTCAATCAACTATCTCATTATCGATGATGAAGCTATCCCACAACCTCACAATAATCTTTCAATTGACGTTGATATTATTATACAAGCTCTTGCCTTTGTTTGAGCATGCCCTGACTGTGAGATAAAGTTTATTAACATGAATATAGATATTATATAAAAAAAATTTAAATTCTTTGTTGCTATTTAATTGCACTGGGTGTTAATGGAATATGAAGTTCTTAACCTGTAAAAAAGTTTCAAAAAAAAATTCTTATGATTTTTGATATAAATCTATATTTAGTAATTGCAATGCATGAAATTGGAATTTTCCAATTTCATGCATTGCAATTACTAAATATAGGTTTATATCAAAAATGTTCTTTTAAGGGCATTAAAAAAGCTGTGGTTTTTGAGTTTGAGGCATCATTTTCAGAATTAAGACATTCAATGTGTTGTGGAACTATTAATACCTGGTGCAAATTTTAAGCAGACAATATTATTGAAACATGTGCAAATAAAAAAAAAACCAAGACAGCCTGTTGTAATTACATAATTAAGCTAATATTTATTGATTTATCTGATAAAAACATGTTCGAACGATGCCTTGAAAAAACTTAAAACAATAAAATTTCTTTAACTGCAAAAATTTAAAAATGGTTTTAAAAGATAAAGTGGTTAACTAAATATTTATTTAGAACTAATAATCCTGGTAATAATTATATAACGTTTTGCAATCAAAAAGATAAAAAATTCAAAATACAGCAAAAAAAATCAAGTGATAAATTAAAGCAACATTGGAAACAAATCAGAGCAAAATGAAAGTTTTAAATTAATCAAGATAAATAAAATGAGATAAAAAACTTATGATGCTGGATGTTTTTAGTGATTTAAGTTTAATTCAATCTTCCAATTGATATTTTTATTGAAATTTGAAATAGGGTTTCCAGAATTTTACATTTTATAGAATATTTATTTATAATTTTAAAATTTTTCAGTTTTGGTAAACATGAATATTAATTTCTGTATGAAACTTAAACAGTTAAATAAAGCTTATAAAAAACTTTTATGAGTTTAAACTATTGCTTTTATAAAATTAGATTAAAATTAGATTTTATAAATTTAAATTAAATTTATTAACTGCTTTTACATTGAGGAGTAATAACAAATCTTTAGATATAAAATAAAAGTTTATTTTAAGATTTTATCTTATTTTTTTCAACTTTAACTATCTTAAATTGTTTTTTTTTCTCAGAATGCTAATTTTAGCATGCTGCAATAAATAACTTGAATAACTACTTGTTAAAGTGCTTTGAAATTTTGTACAATTGTAGTAATATATATAATAAACTCATTGAAGTAACAAATTTTTTTGATTTTATTCTTAAGTAGAGTTATGGTGTTCTAAAGTGAGCTATTTTGAGATAAATTTTGGCTAATTATGGTTTTTATTTTTGAAACCAATTTGCCAATTTGGTTTTAAAAAACAACATTCAACAGATCACGCAATAGTAGAGTTAGTTAATCACTTATCTAATGCATTTAAAGAAGACTGTTTTACGTTAGGAGTTTTCATTGATCTGTCCAAAGCTTTTGATACGGTAAATCATTTCATTTTAATAAAAAAACTGGAATATTACGGAATAAAGAAGACAAACTTACTTTGGTTTGAAAATTACCTTTCAAACAGAAAACAATACGTACAATTTGAAAATTTAGAAACGACCAAAAAAACTATAACTTGCGGAGTCCCACAGGGTTCTATACTATGACCTTTACTTTTCTTACTATACATAAATGATTTGTCTTCAACATCAAACCTATTAAATTTTATTTTATTCGCAGATGACTCGAATTTTTTTTATTCTCACAAAAATATTGAAACGCTTTTTACAGTAGTAAATGAAGAACTAAATAAAGTAAATGAATGGTTTAAATGCAACAAATTGTCTTTGAATGTTCAAAAAACTAAATTTTCTCTTTTCCACAAACTAAAAAAAAACAAAAAAAATACCGCTTAAAAATAAAACTAACATTAAAAGACAAACATCTGTTAATTTTTTAGGTGTGAACTTTGATGAAAATTTATCATGGAAAATACATATAAATTCTATAGAAAAAAACCCCTCAAAAAACATTGGAATGATCTATAGAGTAAGGCCAATTTTAGGTTTTAAGGCAACATCATATGGGCAAGTACTAACCACACTAAGCTAGAAAAAACTTTATAGCAAACAAAAACATGCTGTTAGAATCATATTTGGAGTTGGTAGAGCGATTCCTTGTGAACCTCTTTTACGTATAATTGGTGCCTTAAATATTTTCAAACAAGATGGATATTAAAAATATTTAATATCCATCTTGTTCTACAGTTCATGTATAAAACAAAATATGGACTGTCCCCGAAAATCTTTGAAACTTATTTTAAAGAAATACACCATAAATATGGTACAAGATTTTCCGCAAACCACTTTGCAATTCCAAAATCTCTTTCTAAACAGAATTCTTATTCAATTCAGAATCGCGGACCACTTTTGTGGAAAAGATTCCCAAACATTGTTTTCCAAAAAGAAAACAATGTTTGGGAATCTTTTTCCATCAAAGATGGAAAAAGATTCCCAAATCTTTTTAATTAAAAATTAGATGTATTTTGTGTAAAACATAAACAAAAAATGTTTCTTTGTATGTAGCGTTTTATTGCAAAGTATTATTTTTGAATTCGATTTGTTATTATTTTCCATGTAATTTATCAGCACGTTTATAAAATTTTCAGGGGCGGCAGGACAAATTTCGCACGAGGGTGGCAAAAAGGCTAAGGCCGGCACTATATATATATATATATATATATATATATATATATATATATATATATATATATATATATATATGTATGTGTGTATGTGATTATGTGTATGTGAGTATGTGTGTATGTATGTATATATATGTATTTATATATGTGTGTTTGTGTGTGTTCATATATATGGGTATATGTTCGCTTATATGTGGAAGTGTGCGAATGTGTATATAAATTAATATATATTCATTTTTACTTTTATTTTGTCTATTTATGATATTATGTATTAAACGATATCTTATTTTATTTTTTGAATTCTTGTAAACATTTATTCAATTTTTTTTATATACAATATATTCTTCAATAACTTTGTAAAAAATTATAAATTGTAACACGGCGCTTGGCGATAAGGCAAATTAATGCATTCTTCTTGCTCCGGCCATTAACTTAATTGTAAATTTTTGTAAACTGTAATACTTATTAAACGGTAAAATATAATGTTAATTAGTTGTTTATGCTATAACATCTTTATACTTTAAGTAAAGTTGATGATTTTGCTTCAATGAGTATCTTGTTATAATATAAGTAAACACTGAAAGTTTGAGCTTTCATAGGAACTACCATTATCTCAATAGGGGAGACCAGGGTTAGTTGGAACACGGGGTTAGTTGAAACATTGAACCTTTGCGCCGACTAACAAGCAGTTTATTTTTACAAACAAGAAACGAAGGTTTCAAGAACTAAATTACATACTCTTTTGTTGTTGGATAAAATTTCAAAAATTAAGTTGCTCAAGATTTTAGAGAAATGTACGCATAAAAACTTTTTGTGATTTTTGTATTATTAATTGTTATCTTGTGTTATAAAAGATAATGAAATAGTTTGAAAACATCTATGTAGTATTTTTTGTGGACTTTCTTTTAATGTGCTTTTTATAGGGTTTTGTGCATGGGATACCTTAATTAAATCGTTTAAGAATGCACTGGCTAAGCGGGGGTTTGTTGGAACATTTTGATTGGGGTTTGTTGAAACCTTTTTGTTTTAAAGCATCAATTATACTCCTTCTATTATCGCTCATAGATTATTTTTGTTATTTTATAATTATCCATACTGGCATACTAAATTAGAGTTTAAATCAAGGATCTTTTTGTTAGGCATGTTTTCATTTGTTTAAATCTTGCTACCACACGTTGTTGACAGCGGCAAGTTCTTTATTATTTTGGACACAAGCCGTTGGTTGCGGGTTTTTAATAACAATTGAATTCTTAAAAACAATGGTTTTTAACTCTTTACAAACCTACGTTTAAAATGTTGTGCGTTTGAAACTTATACATTTTTAAATTTCTTTTACTTAGTTTTTCAAAGAGGTTTGTTGTTTAAATTTAAATTATATTTTCAATACACGATTCTAATTTTTTTTGAAAACTATTTGCGGTCACGGCTATTAGAAATTTTGTAAAACTGCAGTAGTGAAAGAGTTATAGGCATTAATAAATTATTTTTAGAATGCGTTGTTATAAACGAAAGACACCTGCAAAAGGTATGACATCAAGCGATACGATGCTTGCTGTTGTCAAAAGAGTAGTTGAAAATGGAGAAAAATGCTGAAGAGTTGCATCAGACTATGGCATTCCTTATATGACACTCAGGAGATACTTCATTAAAGTCAAAGCAACGCCAAGCACCCCGACCAGTTTAACTGTGGGGTACCACAACAATAGAAATGTTTTTACTATGGAAGAAGAGAATGCTGGTGCAGAATGGTTTTCTTCGTTTATAGAAAAAAAAAAACTAAAGCTTGCAATAAGAACGCCCGAAACTACATCGCTGAGTCGTGCAACCAGCTTTAACAGATATAATGTGAGTTTATTTTTTGACAATCTGAATTCGGTACTAACAAAACACAGCTTTACCGCAACAAATATTTGGAATGTGGATGAGACAGGTTGCATAACTGTACAAAAGCCACAAAAAATTGTTGCCGGAAAGGGAGTGAAGCAAATTGGAGCTATCACATCGGCTGAGAGAGGAAAATTAGTGACAGTGTGTTGTGCTGTTAGCGCTTCTGGAAATACTATTCCACCAATGCTTATTTTTCTAGAGTAAATGTTTGTGACCATTTTGTTTGTGATGATCCAACAGGATGCATTGGAACTGCGAATCTACCCGGATGGATGAATGAACAGAGTTTTTTGCTGTTAATTTAAACGTGAAGCACGTGAAGCATCTTGTGACTCACGTACAAGGCACCTCACAGCAACCAGCTTTGTTGCTACTTGAAAATCATGAATTGCACATTAACCTAGAAGTTTTAAATTTTGCGAAGGCCAATGGAGTTGTTATGTTATCCTTTCCGCCTCACTACTCACAAAAGTTGCAGCCATTAGACAGATCTGTCTACTTTTTTTTAAAAAAAGTCTTAAACACTGTATGTGAAACATGAATAAATAAAAAATAAAGGCAAAAAAATGACTGTTTATGACATTCCAAGCTGTGTACGTTTTGCATTTCCTCTGGCAATGACAATGAAAAACATGTGCAGGGTTTAAAGTTAGCGGAACCTGTCCATTAGATCGCGAAGTTTTTTCGGATGTCGAATATATGCCTTCAAAAGTTACAGACCGCCTAGAACCAGCAGTGACTATGATACAGTTTGAAGTTCCTTCTTTAGCTGCTATCAGTCAAGAACTTCTTGTCTTGACTACTGGTAATAATTATAATAACAACATTTGTGATTTTTTATTTAAATTTTGATTATGATATTTTGCATTTATTCAGATTTAGAACCAGATAATACTATGTATATTAGACCTTTCAGGTTACCTTCCAGGACTTCTTAAAACTCCGCCAGCATCAGCTAATATTGGAGTCTCAACGCCACAAGTTTCAAAAAAAAATTGGCCTTAAAAAAGGAAGGACTCGCATTTTAACAGATACACCGGAGAAAGACGAGATTGTCAGAAACGAAGTAGCAAAAGAAAAAAAGATACAGACAAAAACTGAAAAAAAAGTGCAAGAAAAGAAAATACACACAAAAATTACACCAAAAAAAAAGTCTATTCCGTAAAAGAAAATAGGTTATTAAAAAGAAACGCGAAACAAAAAAACCTAAAAACCGTAAAAAGTCTTCATTAACCAATAATAGCGAGCATGTATATACTGCCGAGAACTATTTGGTGAGTCCAATCCAAGAGAAAAGTAGATTATGCGCTCTGTGTGTTACCTTTGGGCTCACAAGGCATGCTCAAGTACAGATGTATATGCTGCCGAATACATCTCTGACTTTTGTGCTGACGACTGATTTTTATAATATATATATATATATATATATATATATATATATGTTTATATAACATACTTGTGTTTTGTTAAAGTGCATTTTTTATTATTAAACATTTCGTAATTTAAACTTTCATATTATGTTCTAACTAGCCCCAATAGCGAGGTTTGTTGGAACATTTTTTTAAAGCTATCTAATCAAAGATATATTAAAAATTTCATCACTGTATTTAATCTTAACTAGTGAATATTGTGTGTTTTAGTAAGTAGTATTAAGGCAAAAAAAAAAAAACTCAAAAAATATTTGCATTTTGGTCTCAAGCTCACAAATAAAAAAAAACGTTCCAACTAACCCCAGTCTCCCGATGAATATCCTGGCTTTTTTATGGTTTGTGACACAAAAGTAGGGTCCAAATGTGAACATTTTATTTTTTATTTTTTTCTAAAGAAATTTTTTAATATTATCTGAAAAATAACATTTGTTGAAAATAAACGATTTTAGAAATTTGACCACCTTAATTTATTGTAGTTGTTAATTAGATGTTATTAAATTTATTGCAGTTAATAAATATTTATTACAGTTAGTAATTAATACTCCAATAACAGTTTTTATTCAACTTGATTGGAAATTATTGAAAGCCCTAACTAACATTTTAATTAATTTCTAAAAAAATAACTCCTTTAAAATAGTGCTTTAATAGTTGTACAGGCCAACAACAACAAAAATTTTTTGTTGCTGAACAGTACGATTTTTTGTTGCTGAACAATACGATTTATTATTCCATTTCTCAAAGGTAAAAATTCGTAATATTGTAAATAAATTTTTTTTTTAAATAATTATATAATTTAATTTCATCATTTTTTTTCAAGTTTAAATTTATTTTCACTAATTAACCAATTTTCTTAGATTTAAACTTAAAAAAAAAAAGTTGCTATAGTAATTACAAAAGTAGTTGAGTATATATAATAGTTGCTCTATTGATACATTCATACTACCTTGTTTATTTTAGTTAAAATGTAAACAAATGATATCTCATTTTTTTGTAATTTAACTTGAATTTACGCAAAAAATCTTTAGATTTTTTGTGTAAGTAAAGCGTAGCTTTTGCGCAAACTTAACTTTACGCAAACGCTGCGAAATGTTTGTGAATACCAAATAGTTACAAAAAAATAAATTTGCGTACGATTTCCGTAAGTTACGAAAGTTTTGTGAATCCGCATCCAAATGCGATACCATCCATATGCTTGATGTAGTGTTGTAACCAACTTTCAATGGTTTGAAAAATGTACGATCTAAAGGTTGCATTTTGTGTGTACAATGAGGTGGAAGAGTTATGAGATAAATCGCATTGTCGCGACAAAAGTTAATGTTTTCAAGTGTTTTGTGACTACGATGACCATCGAGTACAATTAATTAATCATCAATGATGCATGAGTTACAGTAAAAAAATCTGTTAACCATTTTATGAATAAAGATGAATCTGGGGGAATATAAATAATGGTTGGACATAAACACCACTTGCACTCATTGCACACACGACTGTCACAGTAGCACCTCTTTCTTCACTAGTTATTTTTGAAACTTGTTGTTTTCCCTTTGTTGCAATTATTTTTCCTGGCTGGCTTATCGACATTTATTATTCCAGTTTCATCCATATTCCAGAGCTGTTTGACTGAAAACTTATGTTTCTCAAATAATGACTTGTATACTGATTTAACTTTGGTTTATTGAAGCCAAAAGCTCTGCTTACACGTGGGGTTCAAATAGAAAATTGTGGATTGCAAGACATGAATCCTTGCAGCCAATCCTTTTCTGCCATTTTTGAATCATTATTAAAAGGATTTTCAATTCCCATTTGTTTATCAAAATCATGTGCTAGACGACGTATATCTATTGTTGTCTAGCCAAATAATGCTCTTTCCATAATCTGAACTTGTGTTACAATGTTTAATTCAAAATCTTTACTAAATACAGGAGATTTTTCACCCAGAGACAAACCACCAACTACCTTTACTTTTCCATCTCAATGACGTTGTAATATTATTTTGTTAATACTAAATTCTGAACATTTTTCAGACTGCAGCCCATCTCCATAGCTTTTAATGCTGACTTTATCCTATCATTTGTTGCACCTCTCTGTGTTTTTCGCACATAATTTCTCACCATTATTTATAATGTTTAAATATGTTTCTAACAAAAAATTAAAATTTTAAAAATTAGATAATATAAACATACAAACACATGCAAAGTATTATATAATTATTTAACATATTATTATTTCAAACATTACCTTACATTCATAAAATAACTCTCTTTAAGTTAAATAAGAACTTACTTAAGTTATATGCATACAATTTTTGCACAAAGTTACCCAAGAATTATTAATAATAATGGTATTATTATTTTTTATTTATTATTGTTATTATTATTATTTACATTAAATTGATGCTCATTAATTTAATGTAATACAACTTTATTTCCGCAATGCAATGCAAATTTTAGATATGCATTTATAATACATTTATATATACATTAAATATGCATTTATAAATAATTTATAAATGTTTTACAAGTATGGATTGAATTGCAGTAACTGTATGTAATACAACTTCACACTTCACATTTAGCATACATACTATAACATTTAAAAATATATAAAATTATTTTCAAAAATTATTTATAAATATGTATAATAGTTATCAACATATAAACCAACATGTAAACAAAGTCAATAACTAAATAAGTAAGCGTTATTATGTTCTAAACACACTTTAAATTGGCAGAAATTCCGTAAAACCACGAGACTAGAAGCCCTCCGTGGGTATCTAACCCCACGTAAACGAGGTCATCTTGCATTATATGTAGTTAGGGTGACCATTGTCCCGGTTTTTACGTAGGAGAGCACAGCGCCAAACTAATTAAAATTAGTTTAGTGCTTCGCTATCCTACGTAAAAATTGGGACAATGGTCACCCTATATGTAGTGAGTGCAACCCGTTGGGAAATCGGCTAGCAAATAGCTAGCTATAATCGTTACGATAAAAACAGCGATTCGGCCACGCTTTTTTAAGTTAGCAAAAAGCTATCGATATTTGTAAAGGTAAAGAAAGCAATTTGGCTACGGGGAAAGTTAGATTAATAAGATAAAGACTCACAGGCTATTGTAGCTACTGTCATATCGTAATAAAATCGCTATCAAAAATATTTTGGTATGTAGCTATCAACCAGCTATAGATTTGTAGATACATTGTAGCTAGCAACAAAGCTACGATATGTAGCTAGCGACACATTGCTACAAAATCGCAATGTTTAAAGTTCAATTATTCTCA